GGGCATGCAGGCCGACAAGCTCTACCCCTTGATCAAGTACCTTCCTGTGGCACATCGCATGAGCACAGAGCACGTGAGAGGGCCCCACACACGCACAGCCACTATACCGTGGGCCCCAGCAGCACATCGCTGAGTGCTGCTCACCAGGCTCGCGCGGGCGGTGTGATTCTGGCATTTCTGTGTTTGCCGCTTCAGGGTGCTCGGTGAGGTGTGCTCAACTGTATGCACATGCGCTGCACGTGTCATGCACGCCCATGCCGAATCGCTGTGTGCGCTCATGGCCCCACCATGCTTCGATGCTGGTGACACGAATGCGCACGCACACACACCCAGGTTCGCAAGACTGTGGCATCACTCCTTGACAGCTACCCGAAGGGCAGGCCGCCTACCACCCGTTTCCCCTGCTCAGAGCTGAGCTGCAACAAGGTTGGGCGCACATACTTGGAGCACCAGCCTGCACACTGGGGCAGAGAACACATCAGTGCCAGGGTTACCTCTCACCATATCAACATCGAGCACTTTCTTTACTATGGGTCTAGTTTGTGGCCCTCAGTTTGACTCGTGTGAGCATCTGCTGCTTTCCCATCTCCTGTGCAGGAGTCTATTGCGGCCAATGCAGCTGCCCACGCGCGCAAGGTCAAGTGCAGCCAATGCGGCACTGTCGCCGATGAACTCAAGCGCTGCAGCGCGTGCATGACGGCGGGTGGGTGTGGATTGGTAATTGGGAGCTTTCGTGCGGTGGGGTCGCTGGCAGGGTTGAAGGGCACTGAGACGCAGCACGCGCCTTCAATGGGCGCGTGGGTGGCTTGCCTCTCACTCATAACGCTGTTGCTTGCGGCTTATTGCTGACCGGATGCTGACTGGACCGATTCGTAATGCTCCACGCTTCACCGCAGGCTACTGCAGCATTGCTTGCCAGGTGCGACCAGGACCGTGGGGCGTCCGGGGCAGACATCACCTCAGGGGAAGACACCCCAGGGGGGGACGCCCTGATGGGATCAGGGGCGGGCGAACATCTCATGCGGCCGCCCATGTATCCACTTCGTGTCTGTTCCCCAGCGGCATCCCCGGCCTTCCACCGTCAGATTTTGTGCAACGCCCTGCTGGCTCCCACGCGCCGCATCCCCGCAGAAAGCTGCATGGCCGACCCACAAGGCTGAGTGCAAGGAACTGGCAAAGGCCAGGAAGGCCCAGAAGACCAGGACCAGCGCTTGATGACGATGGGCCTTGTCCTTGAGTACTGCGGGTTTCGACCAGCGGCAGTGCTCAGCCATCTGTGGCACCCTGGGCAGTCTCACAAGCTGGGGTGGCAGGTACCCGCGCACACGCTGCGTATGCAGCTGAAGCGCAGCGGCGGGTGTACGCGGTTGGAGCACTGCGTCCGTGCGAGATCCCCGCAGTCCCCCAGCGCACAGCTTTTGACTCAACATGGGTGACACCATGTACATTGGACGCTGCAAAGTTTAAATCTACTCTGTTGGTTCGAGCATCGCCACAATCAGGCGTGCTTGCTGATTCTTGTGAAGGCGGCCAGGCCGCCTGCCAGTACTGCATCCCACCCGCTCACGGAGCGATAACGTTGTTGCACGCCACCGTTTCCCAAGCATTGACACTTGCATGTCGCAAGTACAAATCAAACTAGCAATGTGCAATTCAATGTGGGCTAGGACCCAAGCCCACTCATCCAACACCGTAGACGAACCCAACCGAGCATCGATGCATACTGCAATCTTGATCAAATAAGGGCAGCCATCAACGGGTGCATGTGCGCACGTCAATTGTAGTCAGCGACAGCATCAGGTATTGTAAGTATGTAAAGTGTGAGTGTTTAAGGAAAGCAACAGGCTGGCGCCCCTTGCTCAGTGGCACGATGGGACATGTGGTGGCGGAAGTTGAAAGGGCAGGCAGGCCAACTAGGTTTGGGCGACATTATGAACCTGCAGTGGAGAGCACGCCCCGCACAGGCAGGGCTGGACACAGTGATGGGGTGCATGCGGTGCTTGCCCGTGTCGGTCATTCAAAAAAGGGGTCAACGACTAGCGAGTTGCCGCGTGCATGATGTCCCTGCGGTCGTGGGTATGGTCGGTCAAACGGCTGCGCTCGGAGCGCAGCGCCAACCTGCTGTGCCACCACCCGCACTCAGGGCAGCGACTTGTGTCAGAAATACACCTGCATGAATCTGCACGAGGCGCCTCCATCAATCCAGCCCCACGCAATAAATGCCGGCCTGCGGGTCGCAGGCCAGCCGCTGCACCCGCTGCCGCAGCGCGCGCCACACGGGCCCCTGCGGCTGGACCAGCGTGCCCCTGAGCCCCAGCTCCCGCAGCTCGCCCAGCGGCAGCAGCCGCCGCAGGCCGCGGTTCGTGACCTGCGGGCAGCCGTCCAGGCGCAGCTCGCGCAGCGTGGCCGCCAGCGCCTCGCCGATCGGCGCGAGCGCCGCGTCGGACAGCCCGGCGCAGCCTGCCAAGCTGAGCGTCTCTAGCGGCGCCGCCGCCGCAGTCGCGGGCACTGTCGCGCCCGCGGGCGCCCGCAGCAGCAGGGCGCGGACGCCTTCGGCGCTGACGCGGCTGCAGCCGTCGAGCGACAGCACCCGCAGCCGGGAGAGGGCGGCGAGCGCCGCGACGCCCCTGTCGGTGACGGCCTGCCGCGCCCCGGACACGTCGAGCTCAACCAGGGCGGGGCAGGCGCGCGCGACGGCCGCGAGCGACGCGTCGGTGACGCCGGGGCAGCGCGCGAGGCGCAGCGCGGTGAGGGCGGCCAGGGAGGGGGCGGCGGTGAGAATAACGGCGTCGTCGGCCTGGGGGGTGCCTGCGGAGAGGGAGAGGTGGAGCGGGCAGGAAGGGGGAAAGCGCCCGCACGTTGGGGCAATGGGGGGGGGGCAGGCGCCTCAGGAATGAGGGGACGTGGGGACAGCGTGCTCGGCAGGCCGCAACATTGGACCTCTGGAAGAGCCTAGATGCACAAGTCCAGGCTGCTGTGAGGCTGGAGGTGCTGGCCCGGCTTGCGCCAGCTGGCGGGCACTACCCGTCCCCGCTCAAAACAAGCAGCGCGGCGCCATACCGGCGCGAGCCACGCCAGACG